ATATGACGGACAGACTGACGCACATACAGACGGACGGACACACGGACGGTCGGACGGATGGACAGACTCAGGAACTCACGGACGGTCGGGGACATGTATCCTAACTTGTATGATCTATGTACTAAATTTGAATGAAAACTGACAAAGCATGTCCAAAATATTACATTTTCAAAAAACATCCAATTGATCCAATTGTGAAATAAATCATCATGGACATGTATCCTAACATGTATAATCTATGTACCAAGTTTGAATGAAAACTGACAAAGCATGTCCAAAATATTACATTTTCAAAAAACAAGATGGCTGCCAGTCGGCCATCTTTGATCCAATTGTGAAATAAATCATCATGGACATGTATCCTAACATGTATAATCTATGTACCAAGTTTGAATGAAAACTGACAAAGCATGTCCAAAATACAACATTTTCAAAAAACAAGATGGCTGCCAGTCAGCCATTTTGAATCAAATCGCTAAACTACTGCATGTGCATATGTCCCACATAAAGTACTAGGCACATGCAAAGAATGAACGGGATCGGTCCAAGGGATTCTGAGATACGACTCCGGACGGACACACAGACGCACTGACACACGGACGGACGGAGACCGAATTATAAGTCCCCGTTTTCGGACTTCGTTCGAACGGGGACTAATACATGTATCATGGCTGGTGATACATACTATCACGTTGGATTTATTTATTCCATAATAAATTTAGTATGCACTTTTGGTATGCATAAAATTATATGACAATGTAGAATACTTACTTGAATTTATTAGTATAACTCTCAGCCACCACTGGGTTGGAGATATAGACAGATTCTCCCTGGAATAGAGAATGAAAACAAACTCTAAATATCTTTATTATCTAATAAATTTTTCTGTAAAATTCAGCTAAAGTTGTTCACATTTTCTGTCATTTTCACTGCATTGAATCTGCAACAGTTTCGGACATTGAATGTCGCTGTTGTCTCTCCTGACTTTTTTCTTTTTTGTAAGTGCAAATTGCAATTGCTAGTGCTGACACATAGTGCATTTTGCCACGGAAGTCATTTCCTGCATTCAATCTTAATTTTGAACCAAATGAGACTGTCACATTGCTTCTAGTTTTTGATACAAAAAAATTTCATATGAAAAAGAGCAGACTATAAATGAAACTATTCCGTGGATAGTCCCTGAAGTTGACTTTGGCATTCACAGGGTTAAGCCCAAGTATTTTACTGAGCAAATACTGAGAAGAATTTGATAGAACTATTGTCTGAGACAGACCATCAGTGTACCGGATTGATAGATAAGTGTACCAGATTGATAGTTGACATATCTTACCACTTGATGTTATCAGGAGATGGAGCGTAATCTAGTTTCCATCTAGTAGAATTAAGTTGAGTACTAACACTGGATATTGTAGGTGGTGTTGTCTTCAGAGTCTTATAGTCTTGTACTATCCTACAAAGTTATCATTATATTAAATTAATTTCAGTTAAGATGGAGACAAGAACATTTTAACTCCATTTACTGCACATTTATGGTATACGTACACCAAATTCTTGGAATATGTAGTAATTTAAACAGTGGATGTTGACAATACAAGATTTCATTTCAATAAAAAATGAATCAAATGACTATAAAGATAAATGACTTACTTGGCAGCTATTTTCTCATTATGTACAGTTACAAATGCCATTCCCAAGTTACTACTGTATGCTATTCTTCTCTCCTCATTACTCTCATCAGTATATTTAGTTTCCAATTCAGTGTAGTATTCTATAGCATCTACCTGTATGTGTCAACAATAGCAAGTGTTAACAAGACTATGAGGTTATTACTAGGATACCTCAAAGTATGCACAAAGACAGTACAGCGGAAGTATCAACCGACGAGCAGCAGAGATTGATGCGCGGCATACTGTCTGAGTGCATACCTTGAGGTATTCTCTTAATAACCTTATTAATATACATCTTTTCCTTCCAAAGATACACCATGGGAATGCCGAAATCCAAAATGTTTAGAACAGAATAAGTGAACTTCTTTGTGTGGAGTCCGTTCAAACTCTGGTGGCAGCCATGTTTGTTTTTATTATTAGAGGACGTTTACGCGCGTAATCATTCCATATTTAGAATTCGCATTTCCTAATATGGTAGGATGAAAATACCTCGTGAAATTACAGCACGCTGTAACTTACGGTGACAGATGTATAATGAAAACATGTTAATATGTTAACAAAGAAAGGAAATACAAGTATAACAATAGTACATGTTAACACATACCGGTACTACATTTTATCAATGAAACTACATGGATGTTGTATAACACATATTACAATATAATGTTCACCAGTAGTAAGGCATGTGTTCCCAGTTATGATTTAACCAGGGTGAGCATTAACAAAGCTACAACTACGTGTTGAAAACAAAAAACAAGATCCCGGTTTAACACTGTGTTTGTCATTAGGAAGAAACCGTGAATTAAAAGAATTGAATATTACACATGAGTAGAATTGAATAATATGTCAAACAGATGAACTACTTACATGGGGTCCACCACACTGATCACAACATCCAATTTGACCACATGTATCAGCTCTTAAAGTCGGGCGGAGTCCACTGACTTGAGTTTGAATTTCACACAGTGAACGACAAGAAACTGCATCACGTCTAAAATACATACATGATATTATAATTTATAACTTTAATTTTCTTGATATAAACTCAGAAATGTATCATAGTCACACAGAATAATCCGGTCAGTTTATTTCGTGCAATAGACCATTTTCCGATCACTGCGAGATCCCGTAAATCAAACATAAAAACATGACAAAAAACAAAGGTCATAGCATCGCAGTGGCGTCAAACATCGTGTGGGGATATTTCCACTGTAAATAATGTGCTGTACACATTTGATGATGATCAATTTCGACGAAGTAAAGGTATCTAAACACAATATTCCTGGTCTTTTGACTTTGAGCTACAGAATTCATGTTCATGTTCAAAATCAAATCGTTTGAATTTTGCAGTAGACATTAAGTCCCCCAATACGCGAGATATCGCAGTTGAACGGAAAATCATTCACCTATTACAAAATATAGTCATCAATATATTCCTGTTTGTAAGACATTGGTAAACTTTCACACAATTATTCTGTAATTCTATCAGTGGTATCACACAGAAGCACTGTCAGAGCACGTGAAAACCTATTCCACCTATACTACATCATGTAAGAACATTGCTCTTCAAAGAACAAAATATTACCTCTTCTTGTCTAATTTCATCAACTTTGTGATATCATATGCAAACTGAATTTCAGTCACGATTACATCAGGATAAGCTTCCCTGCAATAAAACAGTCCCATAGAATTATATAACTGTCAACATTTATAATCGTTATAAGACTGTCGAAGCAGTATGTAAATCAACAGCTATAAAGTATTCATCAAAGCGTAAAACTCAAAAATACTTTTCTATGAATATCAAATCACAGCATTATTAGGTATTTATATAACTTCAGAAGTTCTTTAAAGAGATGCATCTATAACTATAAAATAATGAAAAATCCATATGACCTAAATTTCAATTCCACAGATACTAATACCTGAATTAAAGGGTTAATTTGTTGTGCACTTTTCAAATTTTGGTCATAGTTTTTCATATTAACTTAAATATACTTGCCAGACCGAGCGACCAAACAGAAATGTTCATCTTTAATACTGGACCATACATACCGGGTAAGTGAATCAATTGAGTGGTAAAAAATTGAGAAAACAATTATTTTGAACCTCTAAAAAATAATAAAGTTTGAAATTTGCTGCCATAATGTAACCAATTACACTGTGAGTGAGGTGACAGGTGCATTGTGGAGAAAATGCTTTTAATCACTTACTGGAAATGTTGCTTGACCAAAGCTGGGTCAGTTCTTTCTAATGGTATACCGACTACAAATAGTGTACGAGTAACCTGCATAATCAAGCAATAAAAATCAGTTTATGAACTAACAAAGAATGCTACTGAGTTTCTTTAATGATTTACAAATGAAAGTTGTGTTTATTCTGATCAGTTGGCTCAACAAACTACAAATACTGCCTTAGAGGGCGGTATATATATATATATATATATATGATATGAAAAAATGTACATTGCCACTAGAGGGCAGTATATAAGCCGTCAATTACTTTGAGATACAAGAGCAGCCTGATATCTGATGAAAACCTTAATTGCCCTTTTAGTATGTGGGGCAGAACAATATGAAATATAAATTTTAAAATTATTGAAATGATTTTTCGAGAGAAAAAAAAAAAGCATCCCAGACTTACAATATCATGTTCTTCTCTGTGTTGTAGATGCATCGTGAAGTGTCTCATGAATACCAGCACAATGCAAAGGTAGAGTACCGAGAACACCGTATGAACCCATAGCAACGGTGAGCTAACAATCACAAGACATGACAGAATGAGAAAAAGAGAGAGAGTAGAAATAGACAAAGCAGAATTTGACACAAGTCAGCTCTGGATACATGCATGCATGCGATGACACAGACATGATACATACTAACAATGAAATTTATCAGTGACTGAATGCATACACACGAAGCAACTAAAGTATGATCGATCATGGAATAGAAATTCTATGTATGAAAGTCAGCTGGTAGCATGTGTGAGATAGTCATTTTTTTGTTGTGAGCACGCAATGATGTCAATACATACGGCAGTTGGAGATCGACTTTTTTGTGCATGAAATTCTCAGAAATTGAAAAGAATGACAATGCATTGAGTGACAAAATGTGATTTGTCAATAACAGTCTGGCAGACTGAAGTAGAGAGTACATTAACCTCTTCAGCATCAGTTTTTTTTTTCTGCCAGAATTCTGCCATATATCGTTTCACATTTTTTTTATTATATTGTCGAATTCCATCGTTAATGTATCTGATATATACCCTTTCAAATTTCCCATACTTAATTATGACACAAAATCTTTAATTTGACATTAATTCAACTATACTGATTTCGATCAAACATTTTGAATAATAATCTTGATAAGATAAGAAGATATAGTGTAAAGAAACATGTGCTCAAAAATCAACCCTGAAAAAGTCAACAGTGGCAGTGAGTTGATTAAACACCATCCAGTTATAAATACGCACTTCTGCAATTATATACCGTAAAATACTTTCTTTTCGCTTGGAATTAATTCTCGCTGAAGGATTGATTCGGTAAAAATAAAATCCAGCGAATTTACCTTTTTCCTTATATTTTACATTCAACTCATCAAAAATCAATGAAAATAAATTCCATACAAAACACCCAAAATATTCAGCGAAAATTAATTCCAGCTAAAATAAAGTATTTTACCGTAGTATACATATTGTAAAACATTTTTTTTCACTTAAAAAAAAAAAATAATAATATAATAAAATAAAAAAAAAAACATGCATCTTAAGTTGCCATTGAGAGTGCTGATACAGAAAACCTTGTGGGGTTTAATATTTTTCTAAAACATAGAAATGTCATTTTCCGCTCACAATATTTGAATTGAATTCACAAGTCTGAAAAATCTATCATCTCTAAAAATGTTTATAGAGTTACATTGCATTGTACAATGGAACTCTAAATCGTACTGATACACTTACTCGGTAGGCAGGTTTGATACAGTGGTACGGCCAAAGTTTTCGGGACCACCTTCTTGAGATCCAGAGAAATTCACCGGAAGTATAACGCATATGGAGAGTATACAAAGTAG